CAAGCTGCTTTCTGCAAGGACCCCACCCACCAAATCCAACTTTGCACTGATTTTGAATGTCTGAAGTGGAAGTGAGGAAGGCAATGCAACAGAAGAATCATAGGATCAAAGAACAGAAGAGCTGGAAGGGGCCATGAAGGCCATCTAGTCCAGCCCCCTGCTGTTGCAGGACACCAAGTCACACCATCCCACTCAGAGGGCTGCCCAGTTTCTTTTTGGATGTCTCCAGTGTGGGAGAGCCCCCCACCTCTCCAGGCAGCTGGTCCCACTGCCGTATTGCTCTGACTGTGAGGAAGCTTTTCCTGGTGTCCAGCCTGAATCTGGGTTGTCGCAACTAGAACTGATTTTTCCATGTCCTACACTCTGGCATCAGCCAGAAGAGACCTTGACCTTCCTCTGTGTGACAGCCTTTGAGGTACTTCTAGAGGGAGATCATGTCCCCCTCAATCTTCCCTTCTCAAGGCCGAACATGCCAGGCTCTCTCAGTCTCTCCTCATAGGGCGGTGTTTCCAAACCCTGGATCATTTTGGTTGCCCTCCTCTGGACCCTTTCTAATTTACCTTCATCTTTCTTAAATCTTGGTGCCCAGAACTGGACACAGGATTCCAGGTGACAGAAAGACAGAAAGGTCTTTCCAGAGAGGCTGAACGGACACTAGCCCTACCTAGCCAGACTTGCCCTTGAGCTTATGTGGGCACAATCCATGCGGCCCTTCACAATACGCCACACACACTCCAACGCGGAGTGAGGAATTCTGTCGGGCTGCCTGAGAAATCAAAACAGCCCAAGATGAGATTGATACGATATCACGGGGAAAAGTTTCATTTGTGGCTGCATGGAGTTGGACCAACCTCACTGCCTCATTTTCCCTAAAATCTGTCACTGAGATACCGCAGAGTAATTTCATGCTTAGCTCTTAGAAATCCATTTCTGCTATTACCATTGCTTCTACAGTCCAAAAGATATAAGGCAGTTTCATGTAAGTACACGCTCTTATGAGGAAAATGCATATCACGTCAACATGAATGTCCCAGTGTTTTCAATATGCAGTCATCTTGTCGAGATTCTCGTAAAATTACATATCAGAACCCCTACAAGGGAGCTATTCGGACTCTCTAGAGTACACATTCGCCAGAACAGTGCAGAGCTTAAAATGAAAAACAAATTTTCGTAGTACAGAAAAGGGCTGAACAACTTTCACAGAGGAAGCAAAGACGGAAAACACTTGAGATCTGCCTGTAATTTACAGCAGACAAGTTAAAAGAAATCCACATAATTACAGCCTTGCTGCTGAAAATATTTCTGCTACGAGCCCACTTTTTCAACTAAATGCTGTGTAGTTTAGTGCTGGTGGATATACCTCAAACAGAAGGAAGGAAAAGTTTTTGTTCATTCTTAGTCTTTTACACTGTCCAGAACACAGAGAATATATTTTATATTTATATTGCAATTTATATCCTGCCTTTTTCCTACAAAGGGCTCCAGGCAGCTTACATCATTCTCCTCCTCCATCTTATCCCCACAACAACAACAATATATTCAAGATGACCAGTTACACCTGGGTAATTTCAGACTCTTATTGTGCAATCATATACATGCTTGCTTACTCAGGAGTAAGCCCTGGTGTTTGCAATAAGATTTACTCCCATGTAAGGGAGACCAAGGATACAACCTTAAGAGTTGTGCTGGGATGGGTCGTTTTTCTTTCCTTGCTTCTTCCCTTCTCATGCCATTCTGCATTTGGGGTGAAATATTTGTGAAAAAACTCAAGTTTTTTCCTAGGAACTATTGGATCTTTCACTGCTAGAAGAGAGGTACTAAAAAAATTCTGGAAAGTGATTTAGCATGGAAATCTCCAGGAATTAAAATCAGCATCAAAACTACAAAGCTGCAACTGGACATATTTTGAAACACTTCATTTTATGGATGCACACAAAGTGTGATGCTGCTGCCATTATGAAATCATCATTTTATAATGAATGCTATTTTATGAATATTTGATGTGTGTTTTAAATGATCTGTTTAAATTGCAGTGTTTTTGTCCCTTTGGTGACGGGGGCACTGCATAAGACAAGAAACAGGGCTGAAATGGAAAGCAAACAAAGAGTAAAATAAACGACTGTGTTATTTTGAATGAAACCTTTCACTTGTGCAAAAAAGAAAAACGAAGGAATAGTTTGGGAGGAGCCATGGTGGCAAATGTTGGACCAGGGACCTGCACGATCCGAGTTCCAGTCCCTGCTCGGACATGAGGCTCACGGAGCGACTTTGGGCCAGTCACTCACTTCCGGCCCGATCCACCTCTGTTGTGGGGATAAAATGGAGTGGTGGAGAACCATGCAAGCCACCTTAATTCAAGGCAGATTTAAAAGAAACATCGATCTGTATCTTCTCGCCACAAGCAATAGCATGATGTGGGGGTGTATTTGGCCAAAACAAATGTCAACATTTTTAAAATTAAATTTCTCCCTCCAGAGCCCCAGAGAAGCTGGCGGGAGTGCAGAGGTGGGTGGAAGCTAAATGGGAGAAGCAAAAGGGAGGTCCAAGTTTCTCTGCTTTACTTTTGACTATGGGACATCCTGGCTTGCATCCAACGAGCCACTCGAGGAAGGAAAATGCTGACAGCTTACAGAGACTGATGGGGCAGGATAAAAAATCTAATAAATAAATAAAATAAAAATGCCGACTTGATTACTTGACACTCGGGAGAGAGCTTTGGGAGCCATGAAGAGCTGGGAAAGACCCCCAGCACAAGCTCAGTCTGACTCAGTCCAAGCTCTTGGCCCCAGCTCATTTTATGGGAGAGAAAAGCGAGTGGCTTTCATCAGTGTCAAGCCGGCAAGAAGCTCACAAGTCCTCCACCCACACGCTTTGGTTCGAGCAACCGTGTTATAAATGGAGAAAGAGCCAGGCCTCGGGCTGGAAGCAGGCCACCTTTTATTAATCCAGGCACAGCATGGTTGTACTAAATTCGGTACTGATTTTCCTTCCGGGATAGAAGCTGCACCGGTGTTCCCGGCCCTTCTGTCTAATCAGCACAGGATTGCACCCAAGGGGACTTTTCACGGCTTCTACTTGGGTGGCCTCTCCATTTCCCACAGGCCCTCCTTCCAGGCTTCAGAGGATCGGATCTGAACGGAAGTTCCTGGAGCCCATCAACAAAGCTCTGGAAACAATCCGGCTTACTCCTCTGCATGCATTATCTCAAGCATCTTTGCATGAGCTTCCGGCTGAGCATTTCAACAGGAAGAGATGGAAAAGCATGTTCTGCTCAGCACCCATATTTTACTTGCAAAGCATTCTTGCAAACATTGACCAATGGGTTCACTCGTAAGAAGGCGGCTCCTCGCTTCAGAATGGATGGTTACCTGGGATTGGCCTGTACAAACCATGTCCCCTCTGTTCTACCTGCCAGTCCTTTTCTGGGCTCAGTTTAAAGTCTTGGTTTTAGCTTTCAAAGCCCTTGGAGCCTAAATTGCCTGTGGGAGAGGCTACATGATGGAACATCTACTGTAACATCACCATCCAGGGCCCTTCCCCACCAAATAAGGCAAGGCAGAGGGCTATAAGAAAAAGGGACTTTTCGGTGGTGGCCTCCCATTTGTGATCAGTCCACCCCAGTGAGGCTCCCTTGGGTCAGAAGGTTTCAACTCCCAGTGAAGACCTACCTGGCTTTTTAAGACTGTTTTGCTGCCTTTTGCTCTTCACATGGCTTCATTTAGTCTTTATTTATTTATTTATCTATCGATTTATATCCTGCCTTTTTCCTACAAAGGCTCAAGGCAGCTTACATCCTTCTCTTCCTCCATCTTATCCCCACAACAACCACCCTGTGAGGTCGGTTGGGCTGAGAGTCTTTGACTGGCCCAAGGTCACCCAGCTGGCTCCATGGCTGAGCGGGGACTCGAACCCGGATTGCCCGAGTCCCAGTCCCAGCTCTTCCCCGCCGCACCACACGGGCTCTCTAGGCAGCTGTATTTGCAAAAAGTAATATGCGACTATTTGTACAGTCCTCTTGTTTTTGTTTACAGTGTTTTGACTGTTTGCTTGAACTGTTATGATGCATTCCTCTCTTGTTGTTTTCCGCTCAGAGGCCCCTTGGGCCAATTCAGCAGAATATAAGTTTAATAATAAATAAGCAATCTTTCGGCCAGCAGCCTTTGTTTGGCTGCCTTAGATAATGCAGCATTCCCACCCTGGCTGTTGATTTCATTCAGTGTTTTAGCAGCGTGCTTTAGGTGCGGTTTTGCAAGCTCTGATTTTAATCTCCCACGCTGCCCAGAGAACTTCCGTTATCGGGCGGTCTGAAAGAGTTAGCAATAAAAACAGGGCTTTTTTGTCATAGAACGCACCGGAACGGCATTCCGGCACCTTTTTTTGACGGATTCTTCCATCGGATTTTTCCAAGTGATTTTGAATCGCCCTGTTGGGTGTAGCAGGTCAGCGGCAAAAATCATTAAAACAGAACTTCTATCAAACTTGGGACTCTTTTTATTATTGGCTAGAGAAACGGGACTTTACATAGATTTAAATATGTTTTTCAGTTATCATAAATGGAAAAAGAAGGGTGTGGGGGCTGACCCAGCAGGCCCGATGTGTTTGATGATTGATGTTGTTTTTAGTTTTTTTAGGATTACAATTTCAATGTCAAATAAAACTTATTTTAAAAAAATCATTAACATAGTGCCTGCGGGCTGCTTGTGTGTCGGTGCTGATTGTGAGGGTGCTGCTCGTTGGGACGCCGCTCGGCTTGGGATCGGTCGTGTGGCCGCACGCTGAGTGCTTACTGCCGGCGGCGACCATTGTGTTTGTGTGTGTGTAGAGTGACTGGCTACGTGCAAAAGGTAAATAAGTCCTTTATTTCAAAAACAGTTGGTGAATTGAAAATCTCTTTTAGTGTAAAAGTGTGACCCCAAGATGTGAGTTCCAGCACCTTTTTTATTTTTTTTTTTTTAACCAAAAAAGCACTGAATAAAAGCATCAGTTAACAGAAGGCTTACCTGTAGCCAAATAGATGATGTGGAAAAGCATGTCTTTGCCTTGGACCACGTCCACGGCCACGTGGGAAAAGCGGCTGTTGTCCTCCATAAAGTAAGGAACGGGCGTGACGGGCTGGATCACTCCGTGCATCAAAGTGAATTTCTGGGCATCCTGAAGACTCCTCTCGGTCAGATTCGAATACGAGCCTTGGTCCACGGTGCCGCACTGAAAATGCACAATTTTACCACTGTTAACAGAACATAACATGTAGGGAACTGAGACACATATTATGCATCAGTCCTGACTAAAAAATATCTCCAGGCTAGATAGTGTATAAATGCATGCCGCAAGGACGGATAAATACTTTTGCATGTTAGAAACAGCGCGAGTCCCGAGCCTTCTTAGGAAGCTGCGCTTCCTCTGCAAGGATCCAACCGAAGGGATCCAGGGAAATCGCGGTGAAGACGCAGCAAGCGGCAGGACAAAAGAGGGGCTGGAAGCGCTCCCCACATTGCCCAGAACTGTGGAGAGGATGTGGTACTTGCAGGAAGCCAGCTGGCTCGGCCGGGACAGTCGCTGCCCTGGCACAAGTCGCCCTCCACTTCTGGGCTGGCGTGCTGCAAACAGAAGCCTGGACCGAAACAGGCAAAAGCCCCCGCCAAGCCCCAGCTCGCCCGGGTGAATGGGCAGCCTGCTTCTGGAGAGGCCGCTCTGCATGCCTTCGGATTCAGAGGGAGGCTTAGAGCACAGGTGGACTTCCACACTTACTTTCTCTGCCCTTCTCTGTAGAGACATATAAACAAGTTCGAAGGCAGGATCGGTAGAAGGTTCCCCCTCCCACCAAGCTCGCCCAGCTTCCCCTGCCACTGTGATGCCCAGGGAAGGTGGGTCTTCCAGAGATCCCCTGCCTGATTCAACCACAAACCTCAGATGGGTCAGTCTTCTTTTCCACAGAAGTGCTAATCCTGCATTAAAGACTCTCTCTAATGGTTTATTTGGTTGCATTTAAGCCACAATAATCTTAAAGGAGATCAACCCTGGCTGCTCTTTAGAAGGCCAGATCCTGAAGATGAAACTCAAATACTTGGCCCACCTAATGAGAAGGAAGGACCCCCTGGAGAAGAGCCTGATGCTGGGAGCAATTGATGGCAAAAGGAGAAGGGGACGGCAGAGGGTGAGGTGGCTGGATGGAGTCACTGGGGCAGTGGGTGTGACTTGGGGGTACTCCGGGGGATGGTGGAGGACAGGACAGCCTGGAGGAATCTTGTCCATGGGGTCACAATGGGTCGGGCATGACTTTGCGACCAAACAACAACAAGCCACAATAAAGTTGTGCTGGTTTTTTTTAAAGAATAAAACAACTTATTTTTAAATGGGTTTTAGATGGCATAAGATTATTCTGGAGGGAGCAGGAATGCATGATGCCCTGGACAAAAGGCACAACCGCCTTCCGGGGCAATTCTGCAGGACCTCAGCGGCAGGGAGAGCAAAACGGCAAACGGGCTTCCAGAGTGCAAAGCACACGCTTGCACTGGAGAGAAAGCACAACTGCATCTGGAGAGAAATAAGTCCCCATATTGGGGAAGAATCTATATCGTTGTATTTTAAAAAGCATCGAAAACCTTCATTTTCCTCCAAACCTCAGATTATTACGTTAAGACAGAAAGCACGCAGGAAGACATTTACTTTTAAACAGCCACTGTAAAGAATGCCACCGATTTAAATAAATACGCAGCATTCTGGCAGAGGTATGAAATAGTTTTGAGTCCTCAGTCCCTGCCTCCCTGATCACACAGTGCACAATGCCTGAGCTGGGATGCAGCTTCTGAAAACCAGACAATCGCATCAAGGCCATTCCTATTAAGCACCTTCCTTTTCTATTTAAGTACCTGAAAATTCGGGTTAGGGTTGGGATAAGGCAGCCAGGCGGAGCGAGAGTTTTCCTGGTACTTGAACGGCCCGCTGAAGACTTGCGTTATTGCCGTCATGTTGAAGACACAAACGGCAGACACGGCTATGCTGTTCCTTTAAAAAACAAACAAAACACACACACATGAACAAACCGAAGCAAAAAAAGAATTTGAGCACTCTGATTGTGAAATGCAGCACATTCCTTTTGTGCTGGTAAATCCGTGCCATCACCACAGAGTGGATAAAAGTCCACAGGTGTGGACACAGGCTTTTCAACTTTTCACTTGCCTAGTGACTAGAAAAGTCCAGAAGGGAAGATGTATAATGCTCAGGCTGTTTTTCCTCAAAGCACTTCGTGCTCCCATATCAATGCTCCCAAGAGCCCTGACATATAAAGAATGCCTGAGATAGAGAAGTTTCCATGGTGCTCTGGATGGTCCAGAGCAGATCACGTCTATCTCCTTGTCAAAACCTTTGCAGCAGCTCTGAGAAGGGAGGCCGTTATTATTTATTATTACGCTTAATTCTGTTCGGCGCCAGGCGAAAACCTTTTCATTCTCCCATTATTTTAAGGTTTGATTTGGTTTTAATGTGGGTTTTATTGGAATTATTCGCATGCTGTGCTTCACGTCATGTTACTCTGTTGAGACGTTACTCGTTGGATGGTACATAAAAGCGTTAAATAGATAAATAAGTATTTCCCCCTTGGAGGGGAGGCTGAGCTTGTTTAGGACTTGTAAGGAAGCGTCTGGATGAGGCAAGTTCTGGAGTCTCCCCCCAGCAGCCTGGAGCAGGATACGGGGAAGCAGCCCCGCCGGCCCCATCTCATCGCCACTTACCTGGATGCCTGCAGGTTTCTCCAGTTCCCGCCACCCACCCACCCACAGGCGGCCACTTCTGCTCTCCTTCCGCTGCGATCCCTTCCAAGCATACATTGGGATTTTTAAGAAAGGCACCGGGGCGCTTCGGGACCTATTTACGTGAACTGTGTACTCAGCCCTTGAGAGAAGGAACTCGTAGGGGCACTTATGTGGGAGCTGGGGTGGGGAAAGGAGACGAAGAAACCAAAGGGAGGGAACCAAACAGTCCTTCCTTTGCTAGAACAAGGATTTTCAGACAATAGTTTCTCACATAGGTAAATGGCAAGAATTAAATCTGCAATTTTCCCCCAGTTGCCCAGGTTCAGCTAAGTTCACGTCTAATATGCTTCTTGATGGACGAGCCTGCATGCTTCTTAAATAAAATAAACATTTGTTTAAGCTCATCTGTCTTCGGACAAATGAGCCTATTCAAAGGTATTACCCTCAGGGGGAAGATAAAGCATCACGGAGTACAAAACTACACCAATTCAGTACTGAGCTAAACAAGAAAATGGCGCATTGAACACCTATTTGACAAAATGCCGATGTGGTCCCAAAGATGCAACAAGACAAGCTGATTAGATTGAATTTGAAGTTTTACAAACACTGATAAAAACTTTCACTGAAACAAGAGAGAAGAATTTTAGGGGTGAGTGGAAGCTGCAGTGTGGAAGTACTTTAGTTCCATAATTCATGAAATAAAACATCCAATCTTTCTTTTAAGAAGAGAAATAGGTAGAAACTTCCAGCACACCGCTTTCAGCTTAGGGAAAAATGCTATTTACTGGTCTGCAGAGTGAGAAATATTGCTCTTGAATTACACTGCTTTTTAAAAACCTCCTCGTTCCTGTACCCAGCCAAGGTTAGCATGGAGTCTGCATTCCCATAGCAGGGTGGGCGAGAATGAGTGGCTGGGGGTGTTCAAGCATATTTTGATTGGCATCGTACATTTGAGAGTATCTAGTTTTTAAGGCACTTAACCATGCTGTTAGAAAAGAGAGAGTGATAAAAAAAACGGGAGAAGGTTTGATCCGATTCTTCTGGAATGGTTACTCCTATTTTCCTAAAACACATTTTTGTGCACAAATATGGAACTTAATCAATAAATACAGTTTACATTCTCCCCGTCATCCTAGCTAACCATCAATAGGACTTAACAGAAGGTTGAAACAGGCAAGAACTATCAGAAAGTCCTTCTGGAAACTAGCACATGTGAGGCAGCTGGAATAATCCGGAAATGGTGGGCTTGATCAGCTGCACTGGATTCCTGTTTTGTCCTGAGTTAGAGGAACCAAGAAAGGGGTCTTAACAAAGTCAGACCAGGAATGCTGACTCTGACTAGGTTTCGGGTAAGAATTTTTCCCACTCTACCCAAAGATGGCAGACCCCTTCTGAAGGTAAACCAGGGCTCTTTCCTCCCATGATGCTAGCTTAAACTTTAGGCCATACAACCATTTAGGACCAAGGAACCTCTTCCGTTTCATAACTACCAGCTCTTAGGGGAAGGTCCTGCTCAGACAGCAAATGATCTGCCCTGTGCACCCAGAAACCTCTGCTCATTGGTGGAGGCACAGGATGAGGCCTTCTCCGCCGTGAGCTCCAAGGCATGGGAACTTGGATCCGCTCCCTGAGAGGTCCACATGGGCCCCTTCCTGTCAGCATTCCAGTTGCAGGTCTTTGGTTCACCATGCCCTCCTCTGTGTCACAGCATTGATGCCCTCCAGGAAAACGGTTTTCTTGACTTTGTGTACTCATGAAGAGGAACAAGGGGGATCTATATGGAACTGCTTGAATCTTCTCCAGGATCAGCTCCATTTTCACTCTTCCTTCATGGCAGCCTTCTCCAAGCTAATGTTCTCAAGATGCGTTGGATACTGTGCTGTCTGGTGGAAGCTGGGATTTGTAGTCCAACACAGCTGGAGGTCACCAGGTTGGAAGAGGCTGCCGTAGGAGACACACAGGTGCCTGGCAGCACACCCCCTCCACAAGGGCATTTGGAATATTCCAGAAATAAAAGTACAGCATAAACTACATACACATTAGTGGTAAAGATCCCGTAGATTAAGTCCAGTTCTGGCAGGAAGAACGTACTCTGTAATTCATTGTAGTAGAAGGGGATTTCTCCAGGGTGGGAACAGTTCAACCGAGCTTTCATAAATGTGGTCCAGGTGTCTTCCAGCAAGAACCGGCCCCCGATGTCATTCTTACAAACGCGAGCAGCCCGAGAAAAGACCACTTTCCCACAATCATGTTCCACGGCGTTCTCTCGGAAGAAGAAATAGATGAAGTTTCCAATGTCGTAAGATGACACAAAATTTGGTTCTGAAACATATGATTGAAAAAGGGCAGGGTTTTGAATTTTTTCCTTTAAAATGCTCTAGATTTACAGCAGGTTTTGCTAAACATGCTTTGACCTATACCTCCCTCTCCGGTGGGCAACCTTTGTTTCCCTGCTCTCAGCCACCCTAAAGATGTCTGTTTGTCTTCCTTCCACCCTTCTCGTTCTTTATGCCTGGAATACCCAGCCAACAAAGAGGCTCTCCCACTTTTCCACATCAAATCCTTCCCCTTGCTTTCCGTCTCTCCCCGCACTGCCAATCTCCCTTTTTCCACTCATGAAACTCTGTAAAGTAGTACCTACCATAATCCTACCAATGGCGAATCAATATGGTGCAATGGAAGGAAACCCAGGTTCGAATCCCAGTTTGGCCATGGAGCCAACTGGGTGACTTTGGGCCAGTCACAGACTCTCAGCCCTGCCTGCCCCGCAGGGTCGCCGTGAAGATAACATGGCGGAGGGCTAAGTAAGCTGCTTTGGATTCCCTGCCTGAAATGTGTGTGTGTGTGTACAATGATGCATATGCTACAAGAGTTGTCCAAAGACTGACAAGAGTCAACAAGTCAGTTATCTTTTTTGCTAAAGATGCTGTATGGGCTAAAGTGCCTGATCTCACCGAACCTTGGAAGCTAAGCAGGGTCAGGCTTGGTTAGAATCTGGATGGGGGACTTGAGTGTATGATTCTGTGATTATTGTGGAAACTGCTCATGGAGCTTTGGCTACAGGCAATATAGAGATGATGATGATGATGATGATGATGATGATGATGATGATGGGAGATGATGATGATGATGCCCGGGATTGAATTCAGCACCTTCCACAGATACAGTGTCCACTTTCCCACCGAGTGGTGACCTGTTACCACTTCTGCTTCTAGCTTCTTTATATCTACCTTCCTCTTCCATCCAGTCTCACACAACCTGATTCCATCTAGAACAGTCATTTTTAACCCTTCAGGGCTGAGCACTAGGAAGCGTTCTTCCCAAAGCTGGGAAAACTGGGGACAAAGCCTCCAGAAGCACCAAGAGGGACCAGTGTGGATGCCTCCTTCCCAACGAAGCAAAGAGTCCGTCTTCTCTGCACTCACCGTTGAGCCATTTAGAGTTGTACTGCGCAGTCCGGAGAGGAGGGAGGACACCCAGGCTGCGGTAAATGGCAGGGTCTCTTCCTGCAAAGTCCATTACCGTGGCTGCGTATAACTCGCCCGTACTTGTGAGGAGCGCTGTGGAATTGTGCTGGGGACTGTACGGGCAGCGAGCCATGCCGCTGATCTGCTCGTGCGCCTCCTCCAGGTTGGACAGCTGCGCCAGAGAGTTGGGAGAAATTGCCGGTTACGTAGCATCCCATCCAGCTATGATTCGCCCCCAACGCTAGGTGCGAGATCAGAACTCGACGCCCAGTCCTCTCATAGCGACACCACCTTTTCTAGCTCTCTGATGCGCAAATGAATAACGGTGGCGGAAAAAGGTGGGGCTCCAAAGTAATCGAAGGGGAAGACATTAACTCCAACTGCCACACGTACTCCCTATCATGATGGTCTCGCCTCTGCGTTGGAGTTAAGGATGTAAAGAAGGAAGATCTCATTTAACCCTGCCCTAGTCTGCCAAGCCCAAAGCACTTTTAAAAGCGTCGCAAAGCCAATCTTCTCCAGGTGCCCTCCAGGGTTCAGCAGAGGCCTGGAGACCCCTCAGTGCAAAGAAACTTACTCTGTCTTGCTGGAGAACTGCCCAACCAGGGCATGAGTGACACAGCGCCCTCCTGCCATGTTGCCGAACAACCGGTGCTCCCAGCCACCCGGCCTCTGATGCTCCAGGGGACAGAGTAACCGTGGCTTGGCTTCTCACCAAACTGGCAGCCGCCACCCGTTCCCATGACAGTGAATTGCACGGTTTAACTCTGTCCTGCTGTCCTTCCTTTTTCTGTCCTGAATCTCCCCACAGTCAGCTTCATGGGATGGCCCAGGTTCAAGTGTTATGGGAACGCGAGAAAAAGCTCTCCTCCTCTACTTTCTCCAAACCATGCATTATTTTGAACACCTCTACCTAGCTTTCCTCGCCATTTTCTGAGCCCAGATTCTTACCGTCCGATTCGTGCAAATGGGTGTGAAAGCATTCGTTCCACAGGCAAAGAGTCTGTCCCCACTGATGAGCAGAACACGAATATAATTCTGACACTCCTCCTGCAAGAGAAAGAAAACAAACTATCAGCATTGCATAAGCAGGATATGCTCAGAAAACCGAACTTCCCTTGGGCACTATCCTACACTGTGTGACTGTAAATAGAAACATGGAAACAGAGCGAGTCAGAAGGGGCCTCCTGGGCCGTCTAGTCTGACCCCAGTTCCAGCCAGCTCCACTCACAACATGCCCACCATGTGCACGTCCAGCAAATGAAAAATTAGGATAATCTATACCTGAATGCAACTATTAATGTGATCCATCCTATTTTATTTACAATCTGTTCCTAACAGCAGTAATAAATCTATTGATCCTTTCCAACAAGGCCTTCTGAGTCATCGTATCTACATGCTAATGGAGCTGCCATCTTGATCAGGAGGACCACCATGGCGTCAGACATGTTTGACTTCCCTACAAGAAGGACTCCCGGTGCTTTTTGTCCAGTTCTTCTCTGTGCAATGTAGAACCTTATTCTCAGCACATTATCATTCCTCAATATTTAAATTTCAGGACCTCCTTCTCCAATTGCAACCCTACATTGCTGATTGGGTGCAGCTCCCATGGACCGTGTTATCCTTCTTCCATGCAGGGGATGCAAGAAACGAGAAACTTATTGGTAGGACGTGATTATCTCAGGAAGCCCCAAGGAGCAGAGTTTTGTGTGCCAGGACGTGTGCCTCATCTGTGAAGGAAAATGCAGCTGCAGTCTGGAGACATGCGGGGGCAGGAGCTGCAGGAAGGGAGCTATTCCACTTTAACTGCCAGGCTTTGCTTCTTGGGAGTCCGCAGAGATAGCAAGGCAACCCTCAGCTGTGCCATTGATGCGTCTCCTCCATTGCTCCCAACCTGAGGAGTTCTCTGCAACCCCAAACCTGGCAGGGAACTAGCCGCTCCTGCCTTCTAGAAGACACCCAGCTTGCAAGATTCAACATGCATTGAGCCTGCAGCACGTCCCACCGAATTGTGCAGGGCTTCCTTCCAAGGACTAGACCATGGGTCCTCAAACGACGGCCCGCGGGGCGGATCCAGCCCGCCATGGCCATCCCTCCGGCCTGCGCCACTGTTTGCTGCCTGCCTGCGCGCTTGAGACGGTCTCCAAGCGAGCGAGTGAGCGAGCCGCTGCCATCGCCTGCCTCCTGTATGCACGCACTCGCCGCTGGCTGGCTCACTCGGAGATGGTTTTGGACTCGCCGGGAGATCTCCGAGCGAGCGAGCAAGCCAACACCGCGCATGCCTAACGGCACCTCACCGGCCCGCGCCCCAGGCACCCCCTCCTCACCGGCCGGCAACAGTCCCCGTGGCCTTTCAACCTATTCAAACAGTTTGAGGACCCCTGGACTAGACAGATAGCCGTGATGCTGATCAGTGGGAGGCCGAGGACAGACCAAAGGCAGGCCTGCTTCACACTGTGGAATGTGCTGCCGCGGGGAGTGGTGACGGCCGCCACGCTGGGTGGCTTTGCAAGGGGGCTGGGCAGGCGAGTGAGGAAGGAGGCTCTCCTTGGCTCCCAGCCTTGCTGGCCACGGGCTGCCCCTTTACCAGAGGTGGTCTGCCTGCGCACACCCGTTGCAGGAGGAGGTCTCGCACTCATCCTGCTTGAGGGATCCTGCGGACAGCTGCAGAGCCGCCTGAGCGGCATGATGGGCCCCGGGCAAAGCAGTGTCCTGGGCCCCTACGACAGCTACGCCGACTGTAATGTTGGAAGTTTTCCCATTTTCCAAGGGTTAGCATACACAGATTAGTATGGGGCCCATGGGCAAGCGCCCATCAGGCCCATGCGTGAAGACGGCCCTGGACAGCTGGTCCGCCTCCCTGTTTACTGAGTGCTGGACCGGATGGGCTTTGGTTTTGATCCAGCATGGTTTCTCTTAAGTTCTCTTGTCTTGTGTTCTCGTTACATTTGCTCATTCAGATCTAGGAAATGGGCTGCGGGGATCACACTCACCTTTGATTTTCCTTTACTGTAGCAGGCCTTTTTAGTAGCTTCATCACAATTCCACTCCACACGCTGACACAGAGGGAGAGAAGTTGGTGAACAAAGGCAAGCAGAATACACAGAATTCAGTTCAGAGGACTACAGAGACCCACCGATTTCAAATACGCGAAATCCCACATCAGCATATTCTGAATCAACCGGAATACGGTGAATGCATTAATTTAGGGCCAGATGTGATGTGAAGGGGACTGCCTTATTTGTTCTTCTGAACATCCCACGGGAATCAAGGGGGCTGCTCACCCACATCTTTCTTCCGGCACAGGTAATTCCAGCAGAATGCCAGCAGCGGTTTGTGTGCCAAACCCAGGCCAGAATTGGGACTGAAATGGGCCCGAGCTAATCCACCTCATTCCAGAGGGCCCAAATTACCCAGGCTGCATAGCCACCATCTGCTCAATCACCCAGTTCACAAAAGGGATGTTTCTGACTGGGTGATGGTTATTATAGTCCACGGAAGTCTTCTTACGGAGCAGCTCCATGCTCCACGACCATGTTTTTCATCTTCTCTCTCAAGGAGGCACTGGGGCTGTTCGTGCAACACGGGTCATTCAGCCCACAACGAGGCTGTGGGGCGGGTGTGTTGGATATACAACGCCTGCTCGAGGGTCGAGGGGTTATGTTGTGCCAAGCTGGTAGGGGCGGGTTATACGAGGGCTAAAAGTGGCCTGTTTCAGGGTTATGGAAGGACCCTGAACCTTTACATAACCCACGTTCTCCGGGTTCACACATCATGGCACACACATACACAAGTAAGGGCTGTGGGTTCAGCCTGATGTCTACAAGTCCCAAAGGCACATTCATACCCAGCCACGGATTATATCCTGAGTCCGGCCCGTCCATCCTGCTCCGCTTGACGTCACCAGCCATAAAGAGCAGAGGTCAAACAAACAGGACTTACGACACATTCCTCGAAGCACCCGAGCCACATCCTTGGCTATTTGTCTCTCAGAACTGGACCAGAAACGGTGCCCCGGACACACCTGCAGGCTGACCAGCTGTACCTGCAGCATCTAAGGCTGAGGTGGGCACAGGTGACCTTACCCTCGAACTGTTAAACAATGGCATCACTTCCAAACTACAGGCATCCTGACTGAAAACCTTGCCTAAATATTCAACTGGCCAGCCCCTCCTGTTCCAAAAGTCAAGCAAAAGCACTTTTAATTTCACCAATGTCACTGACCCCTCTTCAGTTCCTGCAATATGCAGCCATGAACAGGGAAGAATGCTTATCTAGATGTAATATGAATTTCTGCAGGGCTGTGGGTGAACAGCCACTGGCAAAAACAAGGCCATTCCTCCAACCCACCCCTCCCATTCGGCAACCCTAAAACATTCACCTGCCTTTCTTGCAAGGTACCTGGCTCAACATCCACCTGGACCCAACTCTGCGTTGGAAAGCCCTTTCCCTCTCTGAAGATCCTACTGTTGTGTTGTATATGAAGACTCAAACATTATCCTTTATCAATAATGTAGTTCTTAATAAGAAGTGTATCACTTTCAAATCATGCCCGGGAGCAAGTCCCCTTCCCCATGTGGGACTGACGCTCGGCTCTACTTGAAAGGGTTCTTTCCTCAACAAATGGAGGGTTTAAGTGAAAGTTGCAATCGTCAATTATTTCTCTGCTGAGGGACCAGTTTCCATGGAGACATGGTCGACAATCCCGCTGTTGGCAGAGAGAGATGGTGGAGGAACAAGGGAGATGCAAGCTTTGCTTCTGCTCTGTGGAACCTCTGCAGATTTTTGCCCGAGTCCAGTTTAAGGCTGGGGAATACGAAGCTTGTCATGTCTTAACTCAAGGTAGCTTACATGATTGTCCCCCTTGGACTTATCCTCAAAACAAGAACTGCGTGGGTTGGGTTGGGCTGAGAGTCTGTGACTGGCCCAAAGTCACCCCATGAGTTTCATGTCTGAGCACAGACTAGAACCCAGATCTCCTGGGTCCCCAGTCTAACCCACTAAGCCACTACACCACATTTTCACAAGAGTCAGGAACAGATTTACCAATGCACATATAAGAATTTCTTAAACCACTATGAAATACAAAAAGGAGTTTGTGGAGATAAGATGCCAGGACATCACTTTTGAAACTCCTTCTATCAAGGCACACTGTGAATTTTGAAAGCGTGATAAGGGTCAATCTACACAGGTGTTCAACCCAAAACTGTCCCATGCTTCTGTATTACTCCCCAGAATTCTTTTTTATGATCATTTTTTGGAGATGGTGATATCACTGTTCTACCAAATCCTGTGTCCCTTGTAGAGGTATCAATCTGTTATTGCTGGGAGTAGCTTTAAAACTACAGAACCTGCTTCGCAACCTTTCCCACCCACCTTCCCTCAGCCACAACTCCCTCCAGCTTCCATTCCTTTCTTTCTTTCCATGGATTTTCACGGGATTTGCAGGCAGGAAATCAGCATGGTTTTTAAGCTGCTTTTTCACTGTACACCTACATTGCTGTGAGTGACGACAGAAAAGAAGCCCCTTGGAATGGAAGCATCAGCTCGACTTTTCCCCTGCTCCCCATTTTTCTCCTCATCTTTTCTTGCAAGGATTTTGATGGGAGTTGCAGGCAGGGAATCCACGGGGAAGGATGAAGCTATTCTTCACTGCACACCTTTGCAACTACAGAGCTGTCAATGACCACACAATTTAATCTTGCATTCTCCCACAGCTATGAATTTGCACGACACTTTTTACCAGACCTTTTCTTTTTTAGTTGCCTGGAACATCACATCTCACTTCCGCTGCAACTGCAGCATCTTACCGTGATATGTGGCATGTGCTTTTTCTGTAAAAGCAAACAATAAAGACACACGACCTTTCTCACTCCGTCTATTTTCCCCACAAGTATAACTCCATGGATGGCTGTACAGTGCTTGTTCTCACCATAAACGCAGTGGATGCTTGCTGTATTTGTGAACGTGTGTTGCAGAAGACAAGGTGCATTAAGAAAAAATACTGGCACGGTGGTGCTTCGTGACAGACCCTGCGGCATGTGGTTGTTGCTGTTGTTAGTCGCGAAGTCGTGTCCGACCCATCGCGAACCCATGGACAGCACTCCTCCAGGCCCCCCTGCCCTCCACCATCCCCCGGAGTCCACCCAAGCCCACGCCCACCGCCCCAGTGACTCCATCCAGCCACCTCATCCTCTGCCGTCCCCTTTTCCTTTTGCCTTCAACTGTTCCCAGCATCAGGGTCTTCTCCAGGGAGTCCTTCCTTCTCATCAGGTGGCCCAAGTATTGGCACAGATCCCCCCAAAGCTCACTTCAGAATAAAAGGAACTAAAAGTCAGCAGGGATTTCAAAGAACCGGCTTTTCCAGCTGTTCCCCCAAAGAAGCAAGGAGCTTTTTAAACAACCCCTGAATAGCTCAAATGAAGATGGGCACAAATGGCGACACGCTTGCCAGCTACATCAGAAGGGAATGGAAAGGCATCAAGCCCCAAAAGAGCCACAGAGAAAGCAAAGGGACAGGAATCGTGTGGTGCGGCCGAGGAATGGGCCAGCCCTCCGTGGGCTCCCCCTGCTGACGTGGAGGCCAGCAGAAGCTGCCGCGATGCCCCCTGCCCAGTCAAGCGAACTCGGAGCCCCGGAGTTCACAGGATAAAGGTGGCACCCCTTCTGTCCCCGCACCGGAGCCTCCTCGGGTAACGCCTGAAAATGGCTCAGGTGCTGAGAAATAAGGTGGTGTGTGTGTGTGTGTGTGTGTGTGTGTGTGTGTGTGTGAGAGAGAGAGAGAGAGAGAGAGAGAGAGAGAGAGAACTAGGCCCCAGGCACTGCTTCCAGGCCACCTCGTGCAGGTACCCAAATCCTCCAGCGACTCCTGTAGCCAAACTTTTAAGCTGGCTTTTATCTGCTACAATGGTAGCCTGTGATCATGTGCACCTCGCGTCGTGAAACCGTTCGCCCACAGATCGCACAAATATCGCAGCTGGTTGAAAAGCTGACAGCCTAAACTCCGCTGTTCGCTTGCTTGATTCACACCTTTCCACATGGTTACGGCTGGAAATCCAAAGCCCCAAAGAGGCTGATTCTCCCTACTTGATTCCACCCAGTCCATTGATTGATCCCATCGCCTTGGATACCCAAGATTGGAAATGAAAACTGAAATATAAAACCTGATGTGGTCCTAGTCACAAGCTCTCACTCTCTGTTTTTTATCTGCTTTGCTCCAGTTCCTGCCTTTCAAACACCACGGCAAGCCTGATCATTAGGCACGTTATTTACTATATTTTTATGGTACAGCAAGAGATGGAGAGCAAGAGAGAGACTGAGGGAGCGATCCCTGCCCCTAAACCACACCCAGCCTAAATTCAGAGGAGAAGGGAGGAAAGACAGAAGGAAGGGCAAAATAGGAGCAATACATCTGGATTATGCGATGGGTATCGTGATTTAATTTGGATCTGGGATGAGGATGAAGAGGGTTTTGAGAAATTGGGGGTTTTGTGGAGGGTTATGAAAAGAGAAGGCACTGAAGAGGGAAATGAGGAAGATTCCCTGGAGGAGGCAGGAAAGCTGGCGTGGCGTGGCAATGAGTCCGGGGACCTGAGGGATCCAGGGCCAGTCACTCCTTCACAGGTGTACCTACCTCACAGGGTTGTTGTGAGGATACCAAAGAACTATGGAAGTCACCTTGGGCTCCCCACAAGAGGAAAAAGGCAGGATATGAATAATAATATGAATAACAAGAATAGTGAAGACTTTGGGACACTGCAGGATGTTCAGCTGGAGAAAGGAAGTCAAGCCCAGGAGTATCATCACGAACGAAAAGAAAAACCGTCGAGGCAGAAGCACCGCGAGCTTTGAAGGAAAGAGAAGGAGATTCTGTTTGGATTAACCATTGTGCTGTTATCCCCGTAATGCCACAAACTAGACGGATACAGCAACAACATCTACCTCCATACAAACAGAAATACAGCTCCCTTCTAAAAACAAAAAACAGAAAACAAACAGACACGAAGGAAACAAACTTCCAGACAGATGGTAGAGCATGCCTTAGGCAGATGGTGCTTGTAATTAGATCCTGGCAAAACACTGCATTTCCAAAGGTGGTTTAATTACACGGTGCCAGAAAAAGCTAGCTACATAATTTCATGTAGTTGTCTTTTTACTACTGTCATCTGTTTTCCTTCCCAGTTATGTGATGTATCCAAACGTGCTCTTAAGGTAAAAGGCAACCGAGAATAGCATTTAACGCTGAGGATTACGGCTAGCAGGGCTCAGCTCTTTGTGGCTCTTGATTTGGGGGGACAAGACCCTCACGCTGAGCCGTGGGTCTGCACAAGCACCCCACAATGTCCGTGTGATGGTGACACAGTGCACGGATCCTGCCCGTGTGAAAACAGGGCAGTGTTACGAGCAACTTGCATGGGGATGTGGGTGGCAGGGGCTACCGGATCACAGGCCACGCGTGTCCGAGGCATGATAAACTCAGAAGGCAGAGGGACAGGAGAACGGCCCTGCCTTCACCACCGCAAGCCCAGTGTCTCTGCCGATTCACAAGCAGAGCAGGGGCCTTCCGGGATTCCTAGGCACACTTTACTCCAAACCGACCCCGGTTAGCCACACTCAGCAGTCTAGTGGCCCATTAACACCATTAACGGAGTGGCTATTGCTGCACCAGCGGTACAAACTCCGAAAGCAAATTTTGCCCTTCTTTGCTCCGAGAAGATTGTTTGTGGATTCAAGGCCTGCAGTGACCGGGTCCTAAAAGTGATGCACAGAGAGATGGGCCATTTCACCTGTTGGAAAAGCCCATGAAGAAGAGACGGGCAAGCAGAGCAAGAAGCAGAAGCCCGAGTTTAACTCCGACAAAGCTGGGGAGGCACCCATGGAGGAAGGGCCTGTCACCCCATTTCTTCGGCCCACTGCAGTTTCAGAGTAAAGAAGACGGGGCTGCAGCCAGAAAGGAAGCAGCTCAGCCTAGGCCCCGCATGCAGAAAGCTGTACGCTCCTTCCTCAGACACTCCTAGGACATGCGGGCAGAAGGTGCTGCGCTGGCCGGTCTGCGGCCAGAGTCCGGGATTTCAGGAGACTCTTCCAGCCAGGGGCTTACGGCCCTCAGAGGACCACAAACCAATCCTGCTCTTCCATGCACTTCCCCACAGGACAGCAAACCCAAGCCAGAGTAAAAGTGTTCCGGCAAGAACTTGCATTCTTGGGTTGTAACCCCCACCCCAGACCACATCTTGTAGCAGTGACTTCTACACATTTGTTCTGCATCGCATAAAAGGCTCTCTTTCATCTGCCCTGAAGCCAGTTCTGGGCTCCCCCTGAAATTATTAAGGAGGCAGCAAAAGGAATCCTGCATCCACGATTTCTAAACTATGCATTATTTTACAATCCTCTCCCATGTTCTTCCTTCCTTGCCTTTTTTCCTAAACAGAAATGCAGCGAGTGCGTTAACAGTTCCTCTTACTCCAAGCCTGCCCATTTTCTAGCTAAGAAATCTCTTTATCAGTATGAAATGGCTGGAGCTGTGTTCAGCATCCCAGAGACGACTGCACCGTGGTCTTACAGAAAGGCATTATGGGGATGGGCCAGGTGAATCTCAGCCTTTTTCCTAATCATCATTAACATGGCATTGGCCTAATTCAGTGCTACAGCACATGTTTCCCTTATGGTCTCTCCACAAACCTCAGCTTTTATTCCAGCTCTGCCGAACAGACCATATTTCAAGTCTTCCTTTCCTTGTCTTTTCTTTTCTTAGTTATACTACCAACACATTGCAGTTACGGGCATCTCCGAGATGCGATCAGCATTATTCAAAATGCAATTGAGAAGCGGCTTCGAGAGAACGCTTCAAGCTGTGTGAAAATGCACTTGAACGTATTTGGCGTCTCCTTCCAGCCGTACCCTCCAGCGGTGCTTGCCGGGTTCCTGACAGCGCAGTTGACCTGGTGGCGCACGCTGCGATCTTACGTTAGGCTCGTTCTGCAATCAGGATGAGCCAGTGCAGAAAGGCCGATCTGCCCAAGCCTTAAAACAGAGCACTAAAAGCCAAACTATGCATTTGGCCTATGCTTGAGCTGAAGGCTGCAGGGAAAGCAGAGCAAACCATTTAGTATGCGGTATGGAGAGCCAGGGTGGCTTCGTGGTTAAGAGCATGGGACTGGGACTCAGAGGATCCGGGTTCGAGTCCCCGCTCGGCCATGCAGCCAACTGGGTGACTTTGGGCCAGTCACAGACTCTCAGCCCGACCTACCTCACGGGGTGGTTGTTGTGGGGATAAGATGGAGGAGGAAAATAATGTAAGCTGCTTTGAGCCCTTTGTAGGAAAAAGGCAGGATATCAATCGATAAATAAATAAATAAATAAAATTTTCCAATACAGCGGTACCTCGGCTCGCGAACTTGATCCGTTCCAGGACTCTGGTAGCGCCTTGAACTGGTCGTGTGCCAGGCCAAATTTCCCCATAAGGTTCAATGTAAATAAGGTTAATCCCTTCTGTAAATATTTTTTTAATCAAAAAAATTTGAAACAAAGGAACAAAGAACAACAAAATAACAAAGCACAGGACAGTGGAGAACACTAACCTAGGTGCGGGGGGAGGTTATTGTTTGGAGGGAGAGTCCAAACGATCATGGTGCGATAGCGATCATGGTGCAGGGAAGACGGGCGCGATGGCGATCCTGCTCATGTGGCAACACGGCCGCGATCGCGGTCGCCACCCAATGCAGAGCTCACGAACTGAGGCAAAATTTTTCTGAAATTTCTGATTGCGACCCGATTTGGTCGTGAACTGAGGCGTTCGTGAGCCGAGGTACCACGGTACTTTGTCAGTAGATCGCCTGGTCTCAGCTGACAGTTGTATGACGGCACAGAAATTACAGCCAGAGCAAAATCAAAACCAATCTTTACATTTCAGTTAAATACATGAGCACTTGTCTTCCTATTCAAACACCCTCTCGATGCCCTACTGAGACACTGTCTTGGAGCATAGAATTATGCCCTTAAGGGACCCCTGCCTTCGAGGTAAACTCCTTCGTGACATTTCCAGGCATGTAAATGTATAACTGCAATCATTCGTATTTATACACTTCACACACCCTATTTGTGGTCTCCCAACCCATCCATATTTACATTCCAAGAAACCATCTTTCCTTATGTTCCCTTGTATGAGTGCTTGCATATACTCACGGCACAATATCCATAAATAACAATACACACCCATCCCAACTGAAGCATTTGAAACAAAAAGAAGCTTGCAAAAAGAGAAAACTCTCTCTATTCTACATCACCATGAAAAGCAGAATGATTAAAATCTAGTATCCAACTATTTTCAAGGCACAGAGCCTCCTGAATGAGCATCGTTATTCATTAGCTGCTAGTGCAACAGAAATTAAAAGGTAAATTAAAATTAAGTAGAGCTGTGAAATCCCCAAAATTGAAATGCCTTTGTGCTGAGCTACAGATATAGTGATATGGTGGGTCTATTTAGCTTTCTCTACACAGACACACACACACACATACACTTTATTAGATTTATATCTCATTTTTTTCTTACAAAGTTTCAAAGAGGCTGACATCATTCTCCTCCTGCTGCCTCGATCTTAGCCCACAACAACACCCCTGTGAGGTAGGCTGGGCTGAGAGTCTGTGACTGGCCCAAAGTCCCCCAGTTGGCTCCATGGCTGAGTGGGGACTCGAACCCAGATCCTCTGAGTCCCAGTCCCAGCTCTTAACCACTGCACCACCCTGCCTCACTATACAGACAATAAGCAAGAGTGTTCAACTGGAGAACTTTCCAAAAGAAAGGGAAAGTTACTGAGCAGAGCAAAACTTCCCCATGGCAAGGAAGCTAAGAGCCCATGAGACTGACTTGCAAGAGGAAAATAACAACTGCTCCACACATAAACACTACCCTTTTTAGCTGCAGTAACCAGAACTGTACACAGCGTTCCAAGTGCGGTTACATAATACATTCATACAGGCACAAAGGTTTGGGCAGTTTTCTTTTCGATTCCTTTTCTAATTATGCCTTATACGGAATTTGCCTATTCCACTGCAGGACTGACTTTCCCCTTGGGCTGTGCAACACAATACCCAGATTCCTTCCGTAGCGGCTCATGGATGCCCACTCAGATCCCATCCACTTATAACTGACGCTGGGATGGGTTTGCCCCACATGCATTGTGCTACATTTGCCATTTTGATGCCCGTCCTCCCAGTTTGGAAGCATCCCTTGGAAGCTGTTCACAAGTCCATTTTATTTGTATTTTATATAGATGATATTTGGCAGCACATTATTTTTAAAAACACACTGAGTGCAAACAACGTTCTGTTTAAAACGAAACTGGAGTTCAATTTAAATTTTCGCATTCCAAATTCTTCTCCTTCAGAATAGATACATCACGTCTGAATGCCCATTTGTTTTGCCCATTAGTCTGTGCATTTTGTCACAGAGAATGTCCTACCTGGATGAGAGAAAGGTCCTCACTGTGCAGCCTGAAGAGGAAGTTTCTAGGGTGAAAAAAGGAATAGTTAACAGAGTGAATGCAATTGAACTAGGGAACTGAGGACACCCCTCCGTTCAGAATGTTAAGGCCACTCCACACCAGGGCCCCACTGGCACAGCATGATGGATACTGGAGGATTCTGAGCTATCACTTCCAAGCACATTGGCTGGCACCTCCTGTTGGATTCCTCCTGGCATTGGGGGGATTGCTGTAACCGAGGTCCTGCTAGGAAGCAAAAGCATCACATGACATCCCAACCCAACTCCTAGCTTCTTCTTGTTGTTATTCAGTCACAAAGTCATCCCCAACCCATCGCAACCCCATGGACAACATTCCTCCACCATCCCTCAGAGTCCACCCAAGCCCACACCCACTGACTCCATCCAGCCACCTCATCCTTTGCCGTCCCCTTCTTCTTTTGCTCTCTATTGTTCCCAGCATCAGGCTCTTCTCCAGGGAGTCCTTCCTTCTCATTAGGTGGCCAAAGTATTTGAGTTTCATCTTCAGGACCTGGCCTTCTAAAGAGCAGTCAGGGCTGATCTCCTCTAGGTTTGACTGGTTTGATCACCTTGCGGTCCAAGGGACTCGCAGGCGTCTCCTCCAGCACCACAGTTCAAAGGCCTCAATCCTTTGGCGCTCAGCCTTCCTTGTGGTCCAGCTTTCACAGCCACACATTGCAACTGGGAAAACCATAGCTAAACCTGCCGGGACCCTAAGCCAAGGGAGCGGCTCAAACAACGAGTTACGATAAGGGCTTGCTTTGTTACGCTGAAGTAAGCGTAGGGTTCCCCAGACCTGGAGCAAGACCCCAAAAGCGTGGGGTAAAAGGTGCTTCAACTTTTGCCCCACCTTGGGATCAGGCTCAGGGGACCTATAATTTTCATTGCCTCGAAGCAATGAAGCAGATTTGTTCGAACAGATCGCATTTGGGCAATGAACATTAAAGCCCCGATCCAAACAAGGACCACTGCCGGGGGCAAAAGCGAATTCGCTTCACACCCATGCTAACTCCCCAATCCATATCAGGATGCTTGTGCTTCCTTGAGAGGAAGGAAAATAGACTTAAGTGCCTGCATGCAGCTTGGCCTTATGGCTCGCTCCCTATTTTTGGAGTCCCACTTACGAAGTGGCGCACCTTCATGCCAGGGGAAAACTATTTGGATGCCTAGCACGACCTGGCCGAAAACGACAGGCACCTGCACCTGGCACTTCTTCCCCGACACCACCTCCCTGGTCCTTCTCACACAAGACGCCGAGGGTTGAGGTGGACCCCTTGCGCGCTTCTTGCTTCTGCACTCATGTTTACAGACTCTTAAAATGATCTTCCAGTCTTGGTTCTGATTTTCACAGCACCTTCCTGGGTTTGTTTTTTAGAGCAGGGGAAAATGAGCTATTAATTCACAACAGGGGTAATGGCGCTTTCTCGCCTGGTGTATTTGTGCTACAATGGCAAGATTAACTAATCAGATTAATAGAAGACCAGTTAAAGAAATTACTCAAAGATGGAAAGCTTATTGTGAGCAATTTAATAAACTTTCAGGAAATGGAATTTTTACAAATGTCATTTTAAAAACAAAGCAATGTTAGAATTTATAACTAGTTTTATCAACTAGACAAAATGTTTGATTGAAATTGAATGGTTTTGATGAGACCATGGTGGATGGAGACATTTGTTTACGAATGTGTTTAAATGTTGATATTACATATTATATTCTTCTCTCCTACAGACTTCCTTCTTTTTATTGTGGAAATAAATTTTAAAAGGTTTGAAAAACAGTAACAACAGTGGAAATGGGGCTTCACTGCCTGGTGTATTTCTGCTATTTTGCTATAGCACGGATCAGCGCAGATGTGGCATACAGCAAAAATGCAAGAAAGGAACCGCTGCTTGTGCAGAGCTTGGATCTCACTGCTGTGACAAAACCGAAAACAGGTCCAGCGACTGGCGGTGCAGTCAACGCTTTATGAATGCTTTGCCCCTGCTGTGTGATCCCCAGGTTGCAGTGCAAATCTTCCTATTGTTGCGGCGCTCACTGAATTTTGGTTCCTGTGTTTCTATAACAAGCAAGCGAAAATCATTGCAGAGAAGAGCTATAACGTTATTCCAGTCTACGAAAAACTGCTCCCTGCTTACCTGGGGATTTCAACACTGTCCTCTGTGGCAGTGCAGGCGTGCCTATCTCTTTCGCTGTGTTCCTAGCCAGACAGAATGCACGCAGCTCCATAAATTACTCCACAGGAACCGATCTTTTAAGGCACTCTCTAGAATATTCCCAAAGGGACGGGGAAGCAATTTTTCCCTCTGCAAGTGTCTCTGATTGGCTCTACAACAGTCGTGCACAGCCCCCAGGTCAGCATCTGGGTCTGCGAGGGCTGCACAATCAGCCCCATCACATTAAATGGGCCCCCCCAACCCGGGCAGCCACCCTTCCCACGTGTATCTCTGCTTTGCAAGTTGGCGACCAGGGCCAAGGTGAGATGCACCTGTGGAGGGCAGTTTGGTCCATGGGCTATCAGCTACCAGTCCCAAATTTAGCCCGAATAAAGCCTCATTATAATATGTCAATGCATTAAAAGTATTTCCTTGCTTAGAAGCCTCTTTACTAGCAGTTCAGGATTTTCTCTTGGAGAAAAACTTAGGGGGAATCTGGAAGAAATTGTGCTCCCTTCCTAATTCACCCTGATTTCCTCCATGTGTGTCCACTCTCACAAGCACTGCCTCTGCTTTCGGTGCCCAGCGTAAGGCCTTTTTCAGTTCCCACATAAGGCTTGGAATAACCACTCCTTTTTTCTTCTCTGCAGACATCATTAGGTGATCTTTATGGTTCTGCTTCTCATATCATGGGACACCCAAGACATGGATGGGACTTTAACTGTGGGGCACATATAAACTTGGGCCATTCTTGCCAAATGGTTCTCTGGTTCTGGCCCTGGTACAACAATGAACCGTGATTTCCAGGTTTGGACAACTCAGCAAGCCATCATGGCACTGAGAAACAATACAATGGAGAATTGCTTCTGTCCATGGTTTCTGAAGACCAAACTTGCCACACTGGAAGACCTCGATGGAGTTCAGATGGCACAACAGGCCAACATTGGTAAAACAGACAAACCATGGTTTGTTGTGTTGTGTGAACCAGCTCCTTATTCCCTATGCATATATTTCTTTTGTGAAGCTAATGGTTCTCAATTGCCCATTCTAGCCATTGGTCAGAAGATTCTTGCCACATGCTCTGGGAACATCTCATTTGCATTATTGTAATGAACTCCACGTGAGGCTGCTGTTGAAGAAGGTCCGGGAACTTCCATTGGTTCAAAATAGAGCAGTGAGGCTGCTGACAGCGACTGGACGACACAAACATATTGTTTCAGGCCTCTTCCAACTCTGCTGGCTACCATTTGAACCGCTGGCCTGATTCAAACCAATACGTAGCACCCTAAATGCTTGGGCCCAGGTCACCTAAAGGAATTCCCCTTCCCATATATGCCTATGTGGACATCTTACTCTTTTCAGCACCCATTCGCTGTGCTGGTCTGAGGTGAACAACACCTGAGACTTGTGGCAGAATGACAGGGTAACATTCTCGTTAGAAAATGCCACTTTAGGGGGTGAAAGGAGAGGCAGGCATCTTTAAATAGCCACCACAGCAGGTTTTTTCTGGCCATTTTTTAGCTTAAGTTGGACAGAACAGGAAAAAAACCCTCTAGAAATCAACACATTAAAGTAAGCAGCCCACCTTTTCGGAAGTGACATGCATACCTTCATCCATTTGGGTATTTATCCGTTCTTTTTTTAACCACAAGCATTTTAAAACAGATTTGAGATTGTCTGGGGAATTTTTGCAAACAGGGGCGTTAATGGCATGCTGGCACCATTCACAGCTGGCTTTTCCTGGTTCAAATTGGGCTATTGCTACAAACTCGTATAGTCCGCTTTTCATTTGTTGCCCCAGAAGGGGTAGAGAGATGCTTGCACTGCAGCAGTAAGCACACTTCCACACATCTGGCATGTCTACTTTCACCTTAGGCATCAGGCGGAAAGCTTAAATGCTTCCCTTATAACACATTCCCTGTGCATAGAAAGCTGGTGTGTCTGCCAGCAGGTTTACAGTCAAAGCCTTCCCTTTGAAATGCTAATTGTCTATGGACAGGGAGGTGGTGAAGGTTTCTATATGGGAGCTGGTCCTTTAAAGCTGCAATTCCTCAGTGACCAACTATGAGTAAAATGATTCAGTCCAGCCAGAAATGAATCCTGCAATTATTCTGACTGGGAAGCCCAGGTTGAAGCTGTAAACAGCTGCAAAAAAAATCACAGCATATCCAGAAATCTGGGATTGTTTCCATATCTTAAAAATGCAGGAAGGGGAAAGGGAAAATTATCTTTTCTAATTCTAGTAGTACCTTCTAAAGATGCATTTGCTGAACTTCCTTGGGGTACCCATTCATTTTAGAATCTATGACCCACATTCAGTGCAGAAACCCAGAATTCTTAGTTCTGCATTCAGGGACTGAGAGTTCAAAGCCTTGAAAAGAAGCAAATCATTTTGACCCAGAGGCCTTCAAACAAGAAAAATTCTCCCTGCAAAGATTCTTTCTTTCTTTTTCAAAGCACCCTCTTACCTTGCTCCAACAATAAGTTCATTTTGCCTTGGATCAAAAGTTATCTCAGAGAAGTCAACGGCGTTTTCTGCTCTGAATACATGCAACCAGGGAGCTATTTCTAGAGGAAAAGAAAGATGGAATATTAATACTACAATTAACGTAGCACTTTTGGAGCAATTGAAGCATTTCACCTATATTAGCTCACTCAATCCTCACAGCACTCTTTTGAGAGGGGAGAGGAGGAGAAAATGGACGGTATGGCTTTGGTTCTGGGTTCTGTTAGGGCCTCTTAATACTGGCGAGACTGTATTACCAGGAGTTGCAGGGACGATGGAATTGCCTTGAACCTCGGCAGTTTTATGGAAAGATCACCCAGGAGCCCTGCAGTGCTTACGGCAGCATGCTCCCGGGCAGTGCATCTCCCCGGCAGCCACAACCTTTTAGAACATATACAGAGTGTTTTATAGATTCTGGGTCACATGGGCCCAGCAACTGGGCAGTTGATGAAGAAAGAAGGGGAACAGAGTCAGGGGAAGGCGAGAGGCCTGCAGAGGGGGCTCAGTACAATGGCGTTAGATTGCAGGACGTTAACATAAGGATCACTGAGGCACAGGACCATTGTGAGTCTTGGCATGCAAATGGGGGCGCTTGCAAGGCCGTTACCTGGCAGCCTGAGCAGGTCTAACTGGTAAGCAAAACAGCAGCCCTGGCAGCTTCTGGGGGAAGCCACCACGTCCCCTTCTTAAAGTGACAGCAAGTGCCAAACAGTGACCTGGCCTGCAAGTTTGGGGTGCTTCCTGAGAAAGGGGTGCAGGCATTTTACAACACAAAGACACACAAGCAACCCATTTCTGCCAGGATTGAGCTGAATTTTCCCAACAGTTCCCACAGACCCAGCTCTGATGTTCTAAGGCTTCTTTCTTACAGCTTCCTCTCAGCCTGTGTTCGTCATACAGGTGCCGGTCAGTTTCAGAATTGGGATCTCCTGAGAGTTACTTTGCTCCTTTCCCCTTCTCACTCCCTTTCTCAGATTCGTTTTGCACAGGAACCAGTGCAAGCCATGATGAATGAATCCAGGTCTCTTCAGAGCATGGAGTCTCCAGTTTAGTGTGTGTGTGGGGGGGGGGTAATTTGCCAACGCTGTAAAAAGACTTGGTAGGGCACTGGGGGCTGCCCTCCTGGAAGAAACCCTGGTCCAAAGCTAACCACATTCCCACAACCTGCATTCCCAGCACTGGCTCATTGCATGACCAGTCCGTGCCAGATTCTTCCACTACATCCACTCTGCTGCTCAGCTAGGTTCCCACCTCAGGGGTGGAGGTGAAAAGAAGAAACATCTGGCAGATGGACTTGGAAACATCTTTGCAGAGGAAGGAAAACCTTGCCCCTCTTCCTAGGCAGAAAACGAGTAGAATGACAAAGACTACACTGATAATTCCCAGGAAGGTCGGTGGTTTTCAGCTTTCCCCTCGTAAGGCACACTTTCCAAACTGAACGTTGGCCAGGAATGGCTCGATTTCTGCCTTGAAACACTGCAGAAGCTACTGGGGTCTGTTACAGGAGGCACGCTTGGTTCCCACAGAGCCCTGGCCAGGGGCTTTGAGCCAGAGAAGAGATAATGGAGAAGGAGGAGGTCATGGCAAGGGAAAAGAAGACAATGAGGAGCATAGTAAAGATGGTGATAAAAAAGTGAGGCAAGAGATGAGGAACGATGGAATAGGAGCAATGGTTATTTACAAGATATTTGTCAAATATGATGGGGGAAAGTGAGGTTAGGAAGAAGAGAAGAGGCAAGAGGAGAATAATTTGAGACGGAGAACATATAAGGAGTGGGAGGAAGGTTAATGAAAGAAGCAAATTAAGCTTGCATGGAAGAATGCAGAAGAATAGGAAGGATACATTTGAAATGAAGAAAATCCAGAAAAGAGTCAGATTGTGTCAGAACATTAAAGCTGCAAATTAGATCTCAGGGGGCACAGAGGAGCAGAGGGCCCAAGTATTCAAGCATTTATTCTACTACAAAGGCTGCATTCAGCTAGAGCACTGGCAGATTCTCCTGCTCATACACCCACCCTCCTGAGATGAGTCGGCCTCGTTCTGCATCAGCCGAAGCTTCCAAACAATCTTCGAAGGCATATGGCACACCAGTAAGTACTGCAGTCTGTGAATCTAATCCTTCCAATCTGGTGTTTATCTTCTCATTTTCTTGCGATCTCCTTTTCTATTCTACTTTCTTACTTATCAGTGGCTGTTGTGATTGTTCGGCAAATCAAGCTGGAAATTGACTGTGGATGCTTCTGTTACACCAAGAAACACAAATGGAAGACGAAATACTTGGCACTTTGGGGAATCCAACCCAGCTCTGCTGGAACAGAACGTTCTGTAATAGAGTTATCTGCATGCTACGATACAAAGAGGCTAATTTATCACCTTCGTTAGCTAAGGTGCTCCATCAAAAATTCAGTTTCATATGGGCCATGAAACAAACAAGAGAGCGCTGTAATTTAAACTGCTTTCCTTCGCCATATGTCGCCCAAACGGTTCCAGGAGTCTTTCAAAGTTTTGCTGCATTTGTTCTGCTTTCTGCTGCAGGAGAGCTCACTCGATCCATCTTCATTTATGCCAGGCTGCAACCGAACCATTTGCGGGGGATTTTTCCTTGGGAATGTTTCTCGCATGGCTCCAGCCCTGGCAGACTAAAATCTTGATTGGCAGCAGACGCCTCTGCTGGCTCGTTTCCCCAGAAGTCCATTCCACTCTGCCCAGTTCAGCTCCCTCCACTGGTCATGGGCATGCATTGTAGCCAAACCAATTAAACAGCAGGTGATTAGCCTAAATTTAAATATATGTGCACGTTGACATGGTTGCATAAAAATGGCTTTTGCTTTTTGCTTCCACCTGCTGCCCTCCTGGGCTGTTTTAAATGCTGGAGGTGTCCCTTGTGAGTATTTTTAAGGAAGTAGAAGAAGAACTGATTATAGGAGAGGGAGCTAAAAACAAAGTCCTAATGGGAATAAACTCATGGGTTCTTTTCACCTGGTCCAGAAGTGGTCCACAGTTCTTCAAAAAACAGAATTGCTATCAAGGGACAGTAACTCCTTGGCAGTCCATCTTGAGCTCTGTATCCTCTGCAAATCTGATTTCTGCAGCCGTAATTGCCAAATTAAGTGTATCGATCAATTTTAGAAAATCATCATTCCAAGTGCAGAAACCAAGAAGACTCAGCTGCTGTTCAGCAATTACTTTGCCGTTCCTTGGGGTATACCATTTGCTCAAAAAATGTTGCAAGGAAAGGTAATCAGGGTGTTATTTACAAGCTCACGCTGCCGGCAACACTGATTTCCTCTCTCCTTCACTGGGTAACCACTGCTTACTTTGAAGAGCTTGTGTGAGAGTCATTCCTTTCATTCATGCATTTTAGCTCACCCTTCTTCCCTTTTAGCACCACTGCTTACTTTTGTAGTTGCTAAAATTGCCCATATGCTCACTGCTGGTACCCTGAAATCACAGTGGCAGTTACAACATTCCCTGTGGTTTAGAGGAGACCCATTAGCAGCAAAACCCACAATGAAGTCTGCAAATTAAGCCACTGTACATAAGATCACTCTGAAAACAGAATGAGGCTGCTGCGTAGGAGCTGTCTGCAAAGGAAGTTGAAAGGGAGAGACGAGAGGACTAAATTCCTCCAAAGCACTTGGAGAATATTCAGAGGGTCAAAATACTCGTAGAAACTCAGCTTGGATGGGTATCACAAGCCAGGAAAGGCAACGCCAAGTCCAAAAGAGTGCCAGCACGGTCGATGAGCCCGGATGACCAGACAATCAGAGCACAGAAGGCTTTCTCCAGCAAATAGGTGTCTCGCCCAAATGAGGAAAAGGAGTCAGGGCATGCTTGCACCCCGGAGACAAGAAGGTGTGCGAAAAAGCATTTTGAGGTGTATTCAGCTAACAGCATCAAGGCCAAGAATTGAGGATTGACTCACGGAGACAGCTAGGGAGGTGGTTGGTCTCCTAAGCTATCATGAAGTTAAAGAAGTGCTAAATCAGCATAAGAGATCTCAGAGAAGCTGATCTTTTTATTTGTCTTTACTGCAAAAGATATCAGAAGTACCTGCTCCTGGACAATGTTTCCAGGAACGGATTTTGAGGAACTGGGGAAAGTACTGGTGACACAGGATGAAGTTCTCAACCTTCTTGGCAAGTTGAAAACTAATGAATCACCAGGCCCAGGAATTCTTGAAAATTCAAATGTGTTTGACCTTCTAACAGAAATATGTAACATGCCTCTAAGAACAACTTCTGTATGAGAAGGCTGGAAAATGGTAAATGCAACTATGATTTTTTAAAAAGTATCTCGGGAGGATCTGGAAAATTACAGGCTGGTTAGCTTAATGTCTGTTCTGGGTACACTGACTGAAAACATTACGTATAAAATCAGTGCACAAGCAGAAGAATAATCCCAGCTTTGAAAGAATCAAGTCCTGCCTCACTAACCTTTTCGACTCTTGGGACCAATGCCTTCCAATTGCTCCATAAACAATCTGGAATTAGGAGTGAGCAGTGAAGTGGCCCAGTTTGCTGATGATACCAAATTATTTATGGTGTTTCAAACAAAAAGGGATTACGGAGTGCTCCAAAAAGATCTTGCCAGATTGGGAGAATGGGCATCAAAATATGGAACAGGATTCACTGCAAAATGATGGACATGGAAGCAAAAAATCCCAACTTCGAGTGTGAACTGATGGGATCAGAACTAGTGGTAACCAACCCAGCAACTGGAGAACTTGGGGTTATGATGGCTGACTCAATGAAACAGGGATAATTAGGAACGGATTTTCCATTTACTGAATATGTTTTAATAAAAGAAAAGGAGTGCGAACCACCTGAGGAGTCGATGCAGTTCTGGAAGGGAAGTGGAGCAAACTATGAATAAATGATCTTACACTATATGGCGTGATTTGTTGGTCCTGGTGGAAGTAGCTCTGTTCTTATGTTTATCAATAGTGTTTAATCATGTCCATTCCTATTATATTAATTGCATTGTTTATGTAAGTTCAACTGATAAAATTAAAAAGGAATGGATTTTAAAATAAAACTGCCAAGGTCATACCGCCCTTACACAAATCTAGACCCCATTTAGAATACTATATATAGTTCTGGTTATTACACTTAAAACAGGATATTGTAGAGTTGGAAATGGAACAAAAATGAGCAAGGGGCTAGAACAACTCCCCTGCAAAGAAAGGTTGCAACATCTTGGATTGCGAATCGTTCTTCTTTCTGGGAGCCAATGTGCCTCCGTAGAGCATTTTCTGGAAAAGCTGAGCATGGGCTGCTTGTAGGTTCTCTGTGGAAGCTGGTTGGCCTCTGTCTGAAGAATGGCGCTGGGCAAGATGCTTGTTTGGCAGCTCTCTTCTCAGAAACTCGATGCAGGAACCTGAGCAGAATCGACCTTGGTGGACTCATCCCTTGCTGGTGTAGCTGAGCAGCTGGTTTAGTATCGGCCCTGGCACCATCCCTGGCTCGTTCCCCACTGCTTTGCCCTACACGGTTTCCCTGAGCCCCTGCTCCGGCATGTTCTTTGTCCACTGAGACCTGCACCTCGGGCCTTCTCACTTAGCAGCATCTCCAGGAAACAGGCACACTGGCATATCTTACCCCTGGAGGCCTTCCTTCATTCTTGACCTCTTGCTTCCACACCTGTTAAGCACGGAAGACCACCCCAATCTGTAATGTTTGGTTAGGAGCTGGAGCAATGGCGCAAGAGGTCGCAAGGGCATGCAAGATCCTTCCAAGCAGCGCTACTCCAGCATGTCAAAGGGAGATCTGGCAGTGCTGCAGAGTGGTTTGGACTCCAGCTGCCATCAGAACAACCAGCATGGCCGATGGCTGACGGTGACAGCAACTGGACTCCAACAGCGTGTGCCACAAGCATGCCGAAAAGCAGAGGGAAAAGTGCCCAGGGACTTTCAGCTATGGGGCAGTGCAGGCAGGCAGGCAGGGATGCAGGACTGCAGCCTCCTCATACCCCAGTCCGTCTATGGCCTTCCCTTGCAGAGAGCACAGTATCTTTGCTGACTACCACATTCACAGAAGTGCACAATATAAGATTATACGCATGTGCATGCACACACACTCACACATGCACACTTAAGTGAACATCAATTGCATATTTAACAGCCCGCTTCCATTTTCATCACTAGGCCTCCTGAATGTGAGCTACTTTTAGCCACTACTACATATAAATAAGGGTATCATCATTAACGCAGTAATTTCAAAAATGTAATAGTAATGATTCTTTCTGCATTGCTACAGGTTAAGTTCAGGAGCTGCACTCAGAATATTCTCTTTCACGTTAGCTGCTCTCTGTAGGATCAAAGCAGGTTGCAGCTTGCCTATGAATTTGTATTTGGATTATTTTCACGGTACATTCACTGTCACGAGCCGAAGTTCCTCCTTCAAGCAATCACAAGCCACAGACTGATTTCCTTGCAAAGCTTTATTGCTTCCAAGTACAGGTTGGGTCTTTGAGCATCCAGAGTGATCTGTTGAATCCAGGATAGTGTTTACTTCCAGGGACTCTCCTTATGAACATGCTTGGACCTGCCCCCTGAATGGCAAATAAGAGTGAACTTAGGGACTTGTGAAATGATGCTATTGGGATACAGGCTCCTAAGCTCACCCATACCGGCCTTCCCCATCCCAGCGTACTGCAGATGTGCAGGACCGCAACTCCCAGAAATCCCGGGGTCATCATCCAACACATGTGGTGAGCACGAGGCTGGAGAAAGCTGGCCTTTTATACTGAGGAAACCATTAGCCATGGATGCTCAGACCTCCGGAGTACCAGCTCAGGCGACCAACGCATACGTAGGGAAATCTGTTTTATGCAACCAGGAGAAGAAGAAACATCAAGTGCCCTGATGCCATCCAATCACTCTATATTATGGCTTTATGTAGAATGTCAGAATTTCATGCAAAGTCCATTTTCCGTGTCCAGAACGGGAATCACAGATGAGATGCCACAAGTTTTCCTTGTACCAACAAAGGACCAATGGGAAGAGGAGAAGAAAATGTGGATAGAAGAGAAGAAAATCTGCTAAGAATGTTCCTCAGCTTCATGAACACCAGACTAAATGGTTGCAGTATGAGTCCTCTTTCACCTGCACCGTTGATAAGCTGGGTTTACTCCAAACACATCTCTGAAATTTGTGTGGGCGTTGTAGAAGATGAGGAGTGTTTGAGAGCATAAAAGAGCAAGTTCTTCAGCCTATGCAGCCAGCATAGGAAACGTCGGCATGTGAAGGGTTCATATGGCCCCCACCCCACCAGGGCCCACCTCCTACCACTGATGGACGGGACTGCAATGCCACCAATCCTTCAGGAAGACAAGGTACACCACCTATTCCTTGTTCACCAGCAGATTCTGGCTCTCCATTGTCTGCCAGAATCACTGCTTGAAGATGAGGGGAAATCAATTCCAAAAACACCTGAAGGGCTGTGGATTCCCAATCTGTGTAGCAGTGATCTCTGGCAGCCCCCGGCAGCAACTGGGAGTTCACACAAACAGGTGTCCCTGGGGTCCCTGGGACTGTATGTTGCCCACCCCTGCTCTATGGCATTTAACGCACAATCCTATTAATTTAGGGTGAGGCTAACACTTAGTTGTGCAACTGGCTTTGCACACTCAGGATCCCAGGTTGAGTCCTCGGCATGCCCAATTAAACTTCTCCTTCTGAGGCCCTGGGGAACTTTGGCCGGTTGACAAAGTCAGCTCCAGTTGGTTAGGTCAGCTACCTTGTCTTGGCCATGTAAACTTGCACTGAGGTTCTGGAATGCCTGGGATGTCTTGAAGTTAACGAGGTAACAATGAGATCTTCATCCCAACTGCCATGACTTTCTTCTGTGCTGCTAACTGACCCACTCATTCAGAGAGAAACTTAAAACGTGGACCAGCTTGGAATGAAGGATCCATCATGCAGCTAGAAAGTTGTATTTTCTGAAGATGGACAGGTATCTAAAAGAAGGTAGGACACAGATCCCCAAGTTCGTGTCCGCCTTCCTCAAATCATTCAAGCGTTTAACTTTGCCTTCTTTCAGGATAGGCGTTTGCGAAGGACCCGGCTTACCTTCACTTGCAACAATCGGGTGCTCAGCCCGCTGACACTGGGGGTCCTCCGTGGCCATGGTGTTCAAGGAGAACGTCCCCAGAGCTGTGGCCACTAGTGACAACAGAACGGCACCCTGGATCTTGGCCATATCTTCCTGTGCACTGGTCACATCTCCCTCAGTCAGTGACTCTTGAGGTCAAATACCAAAGAGGCCTAGAGAACGCAACAAGAACAACATTAGAGCCATACAAAGGACAACCAACTTGTACATTCTCAGGACATCACCGACATCAAGGTGAGAGCCCATGAAGTGGCCGAGAAGTGTATTTTGCCCCTCAACCACCCAGTTTCCGAGTAATCGGCTTATTCCATCAAACACTGAGGAGTCACACAAACATCAACACCAATGCCACACGATATGCAAAGCCTGAAGAGATACAGAACACCAGAGCATGGGATCGCCTGCACACTCATGAACCCTGATTCTTCCTCTGGGTGCATTTTCTTTCGGAGTGGAACTCCTGACAGTGCGGACAAACTAGCAGTGGGGACACACCAGCCCTGCTTCATGTGGCAGGTCCAGGCCACAGTGATTGTGCCACCATCTGCCACCTTTAATCTAGGTCAGGGAAGGGTCACTTCTCTGCCACATGGTTCCTACCCAGGCCCTGATCTCTGAGCCGTGAGCTTGTGATTTCAAATTGTGAGTATTAAAGGGAAGTCTAACGGTGTGGTGTACAGTACACCCCATGAAGTTGCGGTTCAGCGTTCATGGCCTCAGCCTTTCGCAGAATTTTTCTCCAAGTGAGTCCAAGCCGATCTCCTTGAGAGTGAGCTGGCATCTCGCTGGGTGGCAGCTTACTCACAAGGAGATTGTTTCCTCCAAGTTTGGACTCGCTCGGAGAAAATGATCTCTGTGCATGCCGGCCCCTGGTCCTGCCTCGCCACGCACACGCCCCCGCCCCCCTGGCCCGGACCAGTCCGCGCCCCCCACCCACACCGTCTTGGCGGCTGGCGCCCATCGCCAGCACCAAATCCGAGGTTTTTCACAATTCGTGGGTGCTTTAGGAATGTAACCCCCACGAATTTCGGGGGACTACTGTATTCATCCTCTTCTCGTACAGGACCTTAGTAAGCGAGTTTATATTTTCGTCACGTAGCCTTACATTAAGAGCACAGGCCATGTCGTCTGCAAAGAGGAGAGCAAAAGGCAGCCTTCCTGCCCCTCCAGAGGAAGGCTTGTGGGAACCGCAGAGCGTTTGAAAGGCTGCGTTTACAAAAGCATCCATTCCCTTTTAAGTTGTCTACAGCACTATTTCCAGTTACTTGTACTGGACCAGTGGATCTTTGTTATGAATATTGCATGGATCCGCTCTCAGGGTTCTGTTCAAGAGGTGCATTTCATATAGCTCTGCTAGATAGGTAGCCCGGTTGCCATCCCTTTCATATAGATTGCCCAAGGGGTATATAAGAATAAATGAGACCTATTAGAGAATGCTGCTTTTTGCAGCAAGGCAATGCTTATTTTTAATCTCTTAGAAGGAAATGATTCCATGCGCTCTGCTCTGCTCTGCTCAGCTACCAGGTACTTGGTTTGAACAAGGGCTTTGATCTCTGTACCAGAGAACCCTGGAGTTGCTCTGAACAGTTGCTCTATTCAGGAGCTCCTCAATGATGAGCAATGCACAAAAGGACACTTTCCAGAATGTTCTGAAAGAAGTAGAGATCCCAAGGTGGCTGTGAAAGGATTCCTTGGCAGAAAAGGGCTTTGATTCACAAATTTGAAAATCAGAATTATTTGCAGGGTGAAGAGGCCAGTCCATTTGTTTAAGAAGTACTAGAAGTAAATCCAATAAATCCAAGGGATTAACAATCAACAAACCACTCAGAACTGAATTCTTATTACCTCAACCTAACAGGCTTCCAGTTCAGTGATGGGCAACTTCTGGTTCTCCAGAATTTTTTGGTCTGCACCTCCCTCACTCCACACGACTGGCTGTGCTGGCAAGGGCTACGCGGGGAGTTAGCTGTACCCCAAAACATCTAGGGCCACGTGTTGCCCAGCCCTGACATAAATCCAAGGAGTGGGGGCATAACAGAACTTACCCTGGAAAGCGTGGCATTATACTATCATGGTAGGCAAGTTCACAGATCCAAAGATGAAAAACTAGTACATAAGAGTCAAACATTCTAAGTAATTTAGGAAGATGCACCAAAAACCTTGCGTAACTGAGAGAATGGCAAGGCGGGAAACCACAGAAGATTGCGACAACACGCATGTGGGGGAGACAGTGAATCAGGAAAGGTTTTTCAGCGTCTTTCATCATACTAGGGCTGAGAATCATCTCACGATGATGAATCGTGGTAGGCTCAGGACAGACAAAAGGAATACTTCTTCAGACAACACACAATCAACTAAGGAATCCTCTGCCACAGCTTGTACTCGCTGCCACCAACACGGACAGCTCAAAAATAGCTCATAAAAACATTTATGGACAGTGATGTGTGTGAAAGCTGAGAGGAAGAAAAGTGATGCTTTTGAAACATGGTGCTGGAGGAGAATTCTGTGAAAGCCTGGAGCAATAGAAAGAGGGACAGGTGGGTCCTAGATCAAGTCAAGTCAGAGCTTTCCCTAGAAGCAAACATGACATGACTGCCATACTTTGGGCACAGCATGAGAAGGTAAGACTCACTGGAAAAGACAACCATGCTAGGAGAAGTCCAAGGCAGAAGAAGAAAAGGAAGACCAAATAGCAGATGGACTGACTCCGAAAAGGGATGACACGGGTAGACGGTTCGCAGGGTCACCACCATTGGGGGGTGACTTGACGGCACATCCCAAACATTTGGCTCTTGGGGAAATCTGAATGCAATAGACCCATGCTGCTTCCGACTTTCTCTGGGGTAGAAACTAACCTCAGCTTCCTCTGAAGGACTAAAGCAGAGGTGGGCAGACTTCAGGCTTTCAGGAGCCCCCTCTTCTGGAATCCCGTGATCCACCACCCACAGCCTGGGGCATAGGACATGGAACCAAAGCATTCTGAGCCCAGCACCAAAACTGGATGTCCCTCACACGGTCCTTCCACATCCAAACCCACTCCGGGCTACCCAAATTTCCCTTCATTCCAGCAGTAGAATTTTGGGCGAAGGAAGTCCTTTGATTGCTTCCACACTTATGCAGGACGGGGAACCCAGAAATTCTTGCTGACCCACAGCAGATCACTGCAGTATCTACCAGTGAACTCAGATCTACCTTCTACCAACCCCAGTATGAAAGGCAATTCTGAGACTTCAACAGGGAGCGATGACTCCTTTTCCCTCACGCATCTTCCTCAGGACGACAGCAACCAGGATGGCGCTTGGCCACCACACACGGGCAAATTTGGTGGACCTGGAAACAGGAGCAACTCCTGAGAGTATGGAAATATGATTTGATGTGGTCCACGAGTTATTTTAGGGTGCAGAGAGGATCAAATCTGTATGCCCTTCCAGCTATTCTTAACACGTGTTTGAACCTGTATCTCATATAAACTGAGAAATATTCCTTAATTAATCATGGCTACATTAGGGACCACCAAGTATCCAGAACCTGGATCCTACGGGTCCCCAACCCAGCAGTCTAACCACCAGGTTATGATAGGCTAGACGTGCACATGGTGGGCATGTCATGAGCGGAGCCGGCTGGTGCTGGAGGTCAGACTAGATGGCCCGGGAGGCCCCTTCTGACTCGCTCTGTTTCTATGTTTCTGTGCTTCACTAGATGATGCTAAGGTCACCTGCGGGTGAATTTCCCAGCTGATGTTGACATCTTTAATTGGATAAATGCAGGCTGCAGAAGTGCTTATCATGCACAATGGAATAACTCTTCCCCTTACTCTGTACAGCCCCGTAGCATTTACGGGGAGCAATAATATCTAACGGGGCTGATTCTCTTAACCTCTGCTCACCCCTTGCCTGCTTCTGCTGTCTTTGCAGAGCTTTTCCTTGCATTGCTTCCTGCTGGAATTAATCATCCCTACAAGACATGAGCAGATAGTTTACAGTTTCTAGCTTATGGGAGAAGGGACCGCCTCAGGCAAATTAGTTATTATCAGCTTTTAATTTGGGACACAACCCAGAATGAATAAAATCAATAAAAATGTGTTGAACAATCTGTTATTTCTTTAACTCATCATATTCTCCCACATTTCTGACTAGGAATCAGCAAAAGAAGCAGCTGTGAGAACGGTAAAATATGTACCTGTCGCTGTTACAAACAGAAGTACTCAAAAAAAGAGGCTCGCAACATTGCTAAAGAAAATAATTTCTAAAAGATGTTCTGTTTTATACTCCATTTTCACCATCCTGGTCACTGGTTTATATTTTATAGTAGTTGGAGATGTGCTTGTATTAATTAGCAAAGGTTGACCGCACAGCCTTAATTAGCCATTCATCATGCACAATTTCCCTAATCCACTGAGAGATAGGTGAAAATTATACTTCTAAACATTTATAATCCATCGATTTGTTTGCAGGTGGTAACTCTAGCCACAACTGAAAATTCAACTCACTCTAAAGCAGTATCATTTAAAAGGGAAAGCTCTGGAGTAAGATGCTAATTAACCCCTTTGTTCCTGCAAGCTAATTAACCGTTTGTCATATTGTTTTTTAGGAATCAAATCATAAGTACCCCACCCTTCAAATTCAAGGTGGATAACAGTGAGTTGTATGTGCAATTATAGTGCAAGTTATAAATGACAAACTTGGCTTTCCAAGGTGAGTGAAACCTGATGCAACAAGTGGGGCCCTGAGCAAATGCATTTCTGTTAGGTAATTAATCTGCATCCAGTCCTTCAGCTCTTTCAGACACAGACAATGACCCACATCTCCCCAGAGTGAGGAGAGAGTGAGCTGAGTGCCCCCCAAACTTTCAAAGCATTAGACTTCAATGGCCAATGGTGCCAAAAGCTGACGGGTGGTTGGAACTGGGACATTTCTGCCCAGTTCTCAGAATAGATCATCAGCTGCGTCAACCCGGGTTGGCTCAGTCCTAAACCTGGAACAGAACCAGACTGAAACAAATCTATATTCAAGAGGAATTTGGGCAGTCATCTGAGTGGGTGGTATAAGTTAGTGTCCTGCAACAGCAGGGGGTTGGACCTTCTTGGG